AAAACTGGCGCGAACGTGGAATCTGAGCACCTATGTGATCGGCGGAGCGTGAGCGATGCGCACAGCGAGCGCGTTCGCGGCGTAGCCTTCACTCGGGACTAGACTTCAATTGTCGTAAGGAGTGCGCGAAATTGGCATGGTTTGCAATGCCAAGCGCTGAAGAGACTATAATATTGGGGTGTCCCAAAAGTAAATTCATTTCTCAAATTAATTAAACTGCTTCCGTTTTCTTAGCAAATTTTGGTACTATTCGATAGAGCAAAGCAAGGTCTACATTCTACCAACGATCCTAATTCTAATCCACCCAATGGATTCCTACGGACCTCTAACTCGGTGCAAACACATAGGTCGCAGCCTAAGCAAAATAACATGAACTTTAGAAGAAAATATTGAATTCAGGGCGCTTTAGCTGCGATAATATAAGCTGTAAAAATCTCATTTCCAGTACTATGGACTCCACCACCTTGCTGAGAAACTTCATGATGAGCTTCAGCCGTTCGATGACGTTCTCACTATTACGGCAAATGCAGAATGGGACTTGTCAGTGAGACACCGGAAAAAGTGAAATTCTTTTGGCTTTCATCATCGTTCATTCCAGGGATGACTACGTGTACAGAGGAGGCGCACGCTTAAGCGATTCTGAGTGACCGTCGAATGTTGTCTTGTTGGTTATAGCATATTATGCTCTGAAAATTGTATTCTTCTGCTGCTGGTCTGCCGCTTTTTGTCAATGAAGTGCCTTAGAAGTCTTTTTATGAAGTTGTGCTTTTCAATGCAGTTATGATCACCTACTAGGCTCACTGGGTGCAGCATAGGTGAGGCTAAGTTCAGGGTTGTTCGTGTGTCGACGCCGTGCCAGAGCCGTTCAGCATTGTTCGCCTTACCGTGCGCGCGTACACTGTATTGATCGTAACCTCGCAAACACGTCCTGCACGGCGCTAGCACGGCAGCAGGTAGCACTGCGCCGGAGCGGTTTTGAACGGCGCTGGAACGGGCAACTCTCAACGCAGCATGAAAGAGCTGTCATTTGTTGGTAAGCTGATATATAAAAACGATCTGAGTACGGCATCGGTGATGTATATAACCTCGAGTCATTTGTAACTTAATATGTGAGATTGCACACTAAGCCCTATTAGTGACGGCACCCACTTAGTAACATCCCAGTAAAACATTTTCTAGCCTCAGAAAATGTAGAAATGTGTTCTACTGACTAACATATAACCAACTAAAACAAAAGAAACAAGGAAACAAGGAGAAATCACTGGAAATGAGCAGGTTCTTGTTTCGCAGTTCGTCAGTTAACGTGTAAAGTGTGCACTAGGCATATTAAGTTACGAATGACTTGACGATACCTGTTCAGACCACATCCTTTTTCGCTTTGTCAACCTTACGACCCACTTACCCATGGATCGCATTGTCCGAAATGGTAGTCTTTTGGAAAAAAATTTAAAACATGTCTACGAAAATTCCCCAAAGGGCTTATCGAAGGAGCTGATTATCCAAATATGATTTATTTCAGTTGTTGGCGTTATGCGGTAAGGTTATAGTAGTCATTCTGTACGATCAGCATCACCGATTTTTATGGAGAAGCGTGTTTTGGGTCATTTCAAGTGCTGATCACGATTATAGTGTCCACTTTGTTCATTACTTTCCCATAGTGAGGCTACGGTAACAGTACTTTGAAATTTTCGTAAAAATCAAGAAACTGGTGTAAGGAGGCGGTATCAGAACTTGAGACTATATTTTCATAATCAGCATGATGCAAAGCTTTTATATATGATTTGAGCTTCCTGGGATGGACAGTACAAAAAATTTAAAAAATCGAAAATTTCTGATGGGTTAACATCTGTCTTTCGGCCGTTACAAATTTCTTTTGTATGGACATTTGAATTCTCAGAAAAACATCATACTGAAAAGAATCTGGGAGCTCATATCATACATGTTACAGCTAGTGGCAAATCACTGAAGCAATTTCATCGAAGAGTTGTGGGGAACAACCAATTTAACGCTAACCTTGTGTTTATAGGCATCACTATACAAGAAAAGTATCCTCAAGGTTTATTTTGATGAATACCGAACAGCCTCAAAGTAGGTCTTCACATCAGATGCATTTTACCTTGAGTTCATTGATGACTACGGCCGAATAATTGCGCAGATGGTTCAGTGTAATCGGGTACTCTAGGCAATAGACATCTTTTGTCTTATAAAAGAGCGCTGAAGCAACTGCAGCAATTAGTTTGGTCTGTACTTTTTGCTCTAGAACCATTCATATTTGGCGTCCAGAAACGCTCTGCAGATAATGAAGGCATTTTGAAGTGAACGTTCAAATCTCTCCAGATGGTCCTTCTATCCATTTTGAAAGCCACACGACTAAAAACACTTTCCATTAGAGTAGGAGAACATTTAATTGATACCGAGGATGATATAATACGCCATAGGGGTTTCAACATTTGCTTGTCAATGGGGAACGAAACTTATCCACCCAAACACTTACCGCAACGTAGTTATGGAAGTCATGAACTGTCAGCAACGCTAAGTTGCACATAGTTTGCACCGTAACAGAACTGATTTCTGCACACAAGCTTGTCCTCATCCTATAATAAATACATGGATTTATGTGGAATTTCGAAATCAAAGTGGTAAGATTTTCATTCGATTAGATTGAAAATTGTTATCCAGATGTTTTCAATCGCGGTGTTTCCGAATATGCTTATGATTTTATTTGGAACCTCAAAATTTTATTTGAATAGGTTTTTTCAATGAACTTCACTGCAAACTGGAAAAGATACATGTGAGTTTTCTGGGTGAGGGAACTTAGGTCCCCTGACAGCCAACTGAGATGTAATTTCGGAGGTCATGAGTTGTCAATAAAACGATAATTAACAGAGCGCGTGCTAGCCCCCCCCCCCCTCTATCCAAATACCTCTCGCAACTTAGCAGAGGTCCACCAGGACGCGTCCCGTGATAATGAAACAGGGATTTCAAATGAAATTGAAATGCAAAGTTCAGTATTAAAATTTCGCCAAACAAGTGAAAACTTGGATTTAGGGGTTTTCAAGTACGCTCTTTTCAAATATGGAGATCCCGTCTGCCTCAAAGCTCACCACGGACCGCTTACTAAGAATGAAACAGGGAATTTCATACAAATTTCATTTGAAAATTCAGTATTGAAGTTTCACCAAACAAAGTGAAAATTTGGACAGGGGTTTTCAAGTACGCTCTTTTCAAATATGTAGAGAATTTTTTCATTAGAACATGTACAAGATTTGTAAAAAAAATTCAATTTTTTTGTATCAAATTTCGACCAATTCACAATAAACACAAACAGATTTTTTTAATGCAGTGCATTGTGAACGGAGTTTATTTGGGTCAGACGGCCTCAGGCAAGTCCATAGGATGTAACGGTAGATTACTGCGTTCAATTCTTTCATCGATTAGTCTGTGTTCATATATTTCATATAATTATTTTATCTCTATATATCTATATATTCATATATGGCTCAGCAAATGTACTTAGATGGTCTTCTCCGATACGAATTTTGACATCTTGCTGCAATAATTTTCTATTACCTCTGTTTCTAAAAATTCACTGGAAAGATATAATTGTTTAAACTCATCCATCGCCTGATCAATCTTGTGGCGTCGCTCCTGGTCCTTTTTGCGAAGAATTCCGCATGCATTAGCATTCTGAGAAAATCGTATATTCAGTGAATGTACACAAGAAACAATCTTTTGTCAAATATCTTACCTCTCTCACATTGTAGAGAGTTCCAAATGCCATAGAATTAATGCCATGCAGGCATTCCAGAAGCTCTTCGAATGGAGGGTTGATCCTCCTCGAAAGCATTCCTCGTAACTTGCTAAAATAAATAATAGTATGAAATGTTTGAAAATGAATTTTTACCTGTGAAATGCCTCTGCCGTGTTTGTTGTTCGATAATCCCGCATGTCCCATTTACACCACATACCTTTGAAAGTGCCATTAAAATAAAAATTATTCAAATAATTTAGGAAATCTTTACATGGTCCATGCGCTATGTGCGTCTCACTTACCGGCGGGGATATAATGTATCGGTGGTTCCTTGGCCGTACTGTGGCCTGAGGCTAATTAGCGCCTGATTGGGAGTAATTCTCCTGTGTTATACAGAACACATGTGATGTAGGTTTATGAACAGACGACGTGCACGTATTAGTGCAGTAGTAGAATGCTGCCGATTATAGGCGTGGCGAAGTAAGTTAACATATTTGGGCAGTAACGGTGCTCATATCACAGCAGGTCATGCTTATGCATGACCTTCATGGTAATCATCAGAGAAGGTGAAAGAGGTGCCGATTCTATCGGCACACTGCCGCCGGCCAGGCATGAAGCAGAAAAGAGAGACAGCACATGATAAAAACACAATAGAATAATCTACTCCTTTTCGCAAATTCTTCTTCTTATCTGGATAGAGCAGTGGTCGCTGGTGGCCAGTACGTATTGCTTTCACTGTGTTGAGATCCGCGAAGTATGAGCGGACGTGCCGATAGAATCGGCACATATAAGAGCTGTTACCCTGGTGAAAAGTCCCTCAGGCAGAAATATTATCCCTTTCAAAATTTCCCACCATTTTTTCACTGCTAGAATTGCTTTGGGCCCCCTCACAAATTTTCTTAAACCCAGGTTCACAGACATCCTATTCCACGCTTGCGCCAAATGGAAGGCGCATCCTTGTACATCGGCTTCTGGAAACGTCTCCCTGGCTGCTCGAATTGCTGCCTACAAATCTGCGTTATAAACTAGCTCGAGAATGAAAGAGCGCACCTTCTCGAAGTCCAAAATGACTCTGTCATTGTAGTCTCCCAGTGTCTCACGGAGTTTTTCGAAGATCCTCTTGTACGTTTCCACATTTTTGTATCTTGTTACGGCGTAGAGGATTGGGACCTGAAATATTTACTTCGTAAAAAAATTCAAAAGCTGAAACTCTGTAAAACCGTGGTTACCTCTATGCCGCCTTGAATAGCTGCGTGAAGAACATATAATTGTCCTTTGTCCATCCGATTCGGAATTGTGACAGGATTCAGATTATGAACGCCATCTCCAATAAGTGCGTACATTCCGTTGTCGCGCGCCATCTATAATCACATTTTATGAAATTTTGGTTTTCAAAATATATTTGCTTACTTCAACAGTATCTGTGCAAAAGTACAAATGCAAATCATCTGTCTGGAGCTGCAGGAACAGATCTCCTCCAGGAACGTGGCTAAGGTCCTCCGGCACATTGCTTGGATCGCCGATCCTCTTTTGAGCATTTGACGCCCTGGAGGCTTTTATTGAATTACTGCGCTAAAAAGCATAAATAAAAAAATTTAGGCACGACATACTTGGAAAATGTCTTTCTTCTTTGTTCGTAGCCTTTCCCGTGGAATTTACCGAGCACTTTCCGTCTGTCTTCGATTGCTGTAATTTCAAATTTGAAAATAGTTCGAAATTCTTCAAATCTTACTTTTCCAAGTATCTGTGAGAATAGATTGCCCAGCATCCGTATAGTGTCGGTAAGGTGTCGTTTTATAGGCCTGTTTATCTTTTCGTAGCTTTTGACAAGTCTAAAAAAAAGTAATTTGTTTCAAAATAATTTTAATTTTTTATTTTAATTTTTTGGACGAGTAAAATCACCTCATAACCTGCTCGATTGGCTTTATCACCGTAGCGGTCTAGAGGCAAACAACTGTGTAAAAGCATGCATGGATCTTCGTCGAATACATCATCTTTCACCTAAACTTGTTTGATTTGATATCTACATGAATTTTGCTAAAAGTCTATTACCTGAACGGATGTGTAAGCGCCATTTTGTTGCTTGCAACCAGAACAACGATAAATGATGTATCCCTCTCGTTTTGCTTTTTTTGATGTTGAAAAATATAACATAATTGAGACTCCGGTATCTCGTAAACGATAACAAAATTGGAGCCTCTTTTACTTACCTGCTTTTCCCCACGATAAACTGGCGGAGAATACGGAACTTCCGGGCTTTCACTGGCGTTTTGAATCATCACGTGTGATGGCTAAACTCATTTTCCGATCAAATTTATGGTTCATTATTATTTAATCTCACTTCAGGAGCCTGTGATAGCTCCACGTGAATGTTCGCGCTGTTTCCAGAGTAATACCGCTCATTCGTGGCAGTTTGGGATGACGTATACAAAGGCTGGAATTTCAGTTGAGATTGTATGTATGAAATAAGGAGTTTAATAGATTTTTACCTGAGATTCCGCTGGCAATGATAGGCTGGAATCCACACTTAGATAGAATTGCTGCATAGATTGCAGCATTTGTAAGTTGAAAAAGCTATCATACGACATAATAAGATTATCTGCACGATAAGTGACTTGATTGTCATGATACTCGGAACGGTGAAGCATTAAAATAATTCGACTAGCGAATGCGATGAAATTCTCTGCTACGATATGTTTTTTTAATTGGTTGAAATTTGATACAAAAAAATTGAATTTTTTTTACAAATCTTGTACATGTTCTAATGAAAAAATTCTCTACATATTTGAAAAGAGCGTACTTGAAAACCCCTAAGTCCAAATTTTCACTTTGTTTGGTGAAACTTCAATACTGAATTTTCAAGTGAAATTTGTATGAAATTCCCTGTTTCATTCTTAGTAAGCGGTTCGTGGTGAGCTTTGAGGCAGACGGGATCTCCGTATTTGAAAAGAGCGTACTTAGAAACCCCTAAATCCAAGTTTTCACTTGGTTTGGCGTAATTTCGATACTGAACTTTGCATTTCAATTTCATTTGAAATCCCTGTTTCATTATCACGGGACGCGTCCTGGTGGACCTCTGCTAAGTTGCGAGAGGTATTTGGATAGAGGGGGGGGGCTAGCACGCGCTCTGTTAATTATCGTTTTATTGACAACTCATGACCTCCGAAATTACATCTCAGTTGGCTGTCAGGGGACCTAAGTTCCGTTCCCCGAGTTTTCTATCATGGTGTTTCCACATAAGCTGGTGGTTTTGCTCAAAAAGTGGAACTTGAAAAAACAGATTTTTAGTCGAAGACGAAGTCAAGTTGAGAATTGAGAATTCGCTAAAAGTTCATTTTCTTTTGCAGTTTGAAACAGCGATCAACAAACAACATTCTAAAACATTTGAGGATTCAAGCAAAATCACAAGCATTTTCGGAAACACCGCGATTGAAAATCTCTAGTTACCAATTTTCAACGTAATCGGACGAATTTCTTACTTGAACTTTGATGATGAAATTACCAGATAAATCCAGGTCTCATCTAGTACAGGGTACTTGCCATAAGAGGAGGACAAGCTAATGTGTGCAGAAATCAGCTCTGCTATGGTGCAAATTGGGTGCTACTTAGCATTTCTGAAAGTTCATAACCTCTTTAACTGCGTTGCGGCAAGTGTTTGGGTAGATAAGTTTCGTCACCCCTTGTCATTTGCCTACTTGAACTTCTAACCATTTCCTGATTCTTGAAACCAGTTTTGAAAGTACGCGTTGAAAAGAATTCTGGAGTCTCATCCAATAAACGCGCTCATACTCTTGGATACTCCAATCAGCCTCTAATTTTTAACTGCAAGGGACTGCAGGAGTTGAGCTAAAGAAAGCGAATGTAGGAACAGTAAGCTGACTCACCTTTTAGAGCTAGCATTTCAGAAAAGTGGAAGGAGCATGTACTGGTTATGGATCACAAACATTCGAAACCTTCGGCGCTTCTGTGAATATGAAACTCGCTAATACCAGATCTTATTTATTTTTCTAAAATCCTGGTTGCAACGCTAGCAAGTTGAGAACTGATATGACTAAGTCAATTTATTCACAGAACTCTGAGTAAATGCTAATACTATTAGTACAGTGCAGCGGCTTGCTTTGCATAGTAATGTTACACGAATAAATTCTATAAATATCCAAAATCATGCTATGTATAATCACCCGTAATGGCAGAGGATAAATCAAATAAAACTGAATCAAGTGAAGGAGTTGCGATGAGCAAAATGGCTGTAGAGAAAAACATACATGCCTCACCGGCGAGCTGCTGAAAGAAAATAGTTGATGACCTGCATGTAAACAAATTCGATGAAGCACCAATGGGAAGGAAAATCATGGGAAAATGTGAGAAAGAGCGTTGGTTTATAAATACTAGTCAACTCTCAAGTGCAGTTCACTGGACTGGCAAGCAGGAATTCGTCTTATCGTGGAGTTCGCGACAGGGGCTCCTGGAAGTGGACCACCAGGCGACATTAACGTTTGTCTGTAAAAGTGCTGTTGAGCAGCTGTGCCTAACATTTAACTTCAAGTGCTATTTTTTATATAACCTTTTTGATGAGTTGATTTGTGAACAACATCACCTGTAAATACCCTCAAATCTAGCATATAAGCCCTCCCGCAGATAAATCCACTCTGGGTAGGAGAAGGTCCAACTATAGACAAGTCCGTTTGCAGATAAGACACTGACAACGGGCATTCTGCTTAGCTCTTGGAATAAAACGGCTTTATTTGTAGAAGGACTTATTTCCTATCAGTAAGATTTTCCTGAGGAAAAAACAAGCGGATCTACATGCTAGATTTCAGGGAAAAGTTGAATTTGTCACTTCTGGAATCTTGATTTGTTTTAAAAAGCCAATCTGCAAGATTAGCATCATTCCTCCTTGTCTTTGTCTTTTGATGTATACAGCGAAGATTCCAAGCACTACTACTGTCAGAGCACCGACAAAGCTCAGAGCAATAGCTGTGTAATTCCTGAAATAAAAGTGTAGGCTTTGTGATTCAAAAATCATTGGAGGCACATTCTCAAAGAGAACATGATTATCAAAAAGTTTCATCTGATAAGTGAGCGCTTTTGAGCGGATTTTTACAAAAGTTCGCATTTGCTAAGGCAGCGTTCAGAGTGGCCTGTGTGCCGGCGCCGTTCCAGCACCGTGTTAGCGCCGTGTCCATATGTTCGCGCGCGTTTTGACCACTGGCGTTTCTGAACGGCGTCAGCATGCCGCTAGCACTTCACACTCTGGACGCGCTTTAATGGTCAGCAAAGATGAATACTGCAGAATGAGAATGCTGTAGTGTTCCAGTAAATTCGTAAATGTGCAAGACCGATAGACTACTGATTCGATACCCTAAGGATTTCTGTCACTAATTTCTTTTCCATCACATCCATTGTTGTTGCGCTCTTTCTTATTTTGATGTGTTGTTGGTGTTTACTCACTATTTTTTGTGCAAAAGGGTGTCTAGTTGAGTAAACGTTATTTGGCTTAAATAAATATTCTTTATTTGAGAATATTAATAATAATGTTAATATTTTAAATAATAATAATAATAATAATTATAATTATAATTATAATTATAATAATAATTATAATAATAATTATAATAATCATGACTTATAATAACGGGCTAAGGACGTGACTTTGTGTGTGTGTGTGTGTGTGTGTGTGTGTGTGTGTGTGTGTGTGTGTGTGTGTGTGTGTGTGTGTGTGTGTGTGTGTGTGTGTGTGTGTGTGTGTGTGTGTGTGTGTGTGTGTGTGTGTGTGTGTGTGTGTGTGTGTGTGTGTGTGTGTGTGTGTGTGTGTGTGTGTGTTACGAAATTCATGGAGCGTGTTCCAGCAAACGTCCTGGGCCCAAATTTTGCACAGCACATGCGCCAGCACAAAACTCCACCTTGCAAAAGCATGAGCGGATTCGTTGAGTGGAACCCACAGAAATTGCGCGTCAAACGGGTCCACTTCGCTTCTGACCTACAAAATTGGGTCCCTATCAGCACTTTTTGCGAAGTCGTTGAGGTGTTTGACAAGTAAATGTGCAAGCCTTGGACTGCAGCCCAAATAATGGGCAAAAATCTACTACTTTGCGAAAATGGATTGGTTGCGTAAATGGTCAATTTGAAAACGTTCTACTTGCGCATTTGAGAAGATTTTTACGCAGAAGTGTTGCTCACGGTGGCTATTGGCCTTATGGCAACTACCAAACCATAAAAAGTCCAAGAACCCACTCCAATTTGCATTTGTTCTTCGGCGAAAAGTTCCATCCTAGCAAAATCACCGATCTCACGTGAAAAAGCTGTTAAAATGAGTGGTTTTTTACATCCTATTCCTGGTAGTCGGCCACCGCGCGGTGAGTTTCATTGCCATCATTATGGGAAAGTAATGAGGCATATGGATAGTAGAGCCAGTGCGAGCCTCTGCGAAGCAGAGGTGACGCACTGGTTATATATATTAACCAGTGCGTCACCTCTGCTTCGCAGAGGCTCGCACTGGCTCTATACTATCTAGGCCCTACTCATTCTCGCATAATGATGGCATTGGTACTCACCGAGCGATGCCGGCTATCACGAACAAAATGTAAACAACTACTCATTCCGAAAGTTTTTTTATATGAAATCGGTGATTTCTCGTGGATGAGACTTTTTGCAGGAAAACAAACGCAAATTTTTATAGGTTTTTGATTTTCTCATGGTCTCAACACTTGCAATAAGAACAGCAGTCACTGTGAGCTACATCTTTGTGCAAAAAACTCGTCAAATGCTCTGGTAAAACCTTAGCAAGTTGACCATTTACGCAACCAATACTTTTTGGCGTGGTTTTTGTAAAGTAATGGACTTTTCACTTTTTTGGGCCTAAGTTCATGGCTTGCACATTTACTTGGCATAAACATCCACGACTCTACAAAAAGTGGAATTACGGACCCAATTTTGAGGCCCAAATGCAAAGTGGATCCGTTTGACGCGCAGTTTCTGAGGGATCCACTCAACGAATCTGCTCGTGCTTTTGCATGTTGGACTTTCATGCGGGTAGCATGCGCTGTGCAAAATTTGAGCTCAGGAGGTTGGCTGGAACTATGAATTTCGTGACAGACAGACATTCACACAGACAGACACACAAAAAAACGTAAACACTCTTAGCGCGTTATTATAGTAGGATGATATTATTAATATTATATTATATTAATATTATTATTTTTTATTATTATTAATAATAATAATAATTATTTAATTCTTTATTTTTATTTCTATATATATATAGCAGAAAGTCTGTGAGTTGTGTCAGTAATTGATTGTTTTGCCGAAACCAGGTTTCTTGGTGGATGTTTATTCGACCGACGTTTCGACGGGCTCGTCTTTTTCAAGTGACGTCCGCTATTGTCCCATTGTGCGGACTTACTGGTATGCGGTGGAGTTAAGACCTCTTGAAAAAGACGAGCCCGTCGAAACGTCGGTCGAATAAACATCCACCAAGAAACCTGGTTTCGGCAAAACAATCAATTACTAACACAAATCAAAATGCCCAGGTTCAAAGATAAGAGAGCTTTTGATCTAG